CTAACAGCTTAGAAAGTTCGTATTTACAGCCTTCTATAAGAGAAGTTTTGCCAAGTGAATGACATTGTCTTCCTTGAATGGCAGATTGGCATAGTTGTTTTCCAATATAGATTAATCGCTTACCACAGAGAGTCAATGATTTCTCGAAAAAGAATATCTGTGAGTAGTAATGAAGTGGTATAAAAAGAAGCAAAATACTTACTACATGCTTTCCATCTAAGCGATTATGAAGTTACACAGGAGAAAATCGATGACTGTGTCCTTTTTTAGGCATTTTGTTTCGTTACTATCAGTATTTTTTCATAACTATATATATAATCAATTATTCAAACTGTTTAACTTCAAACAGCTGTATAGCTTTGGGATATGAGACGGCATAGTTAGTATTTTAGTCTTCTTTCATAGCTACTTATCCATTTTTTGTCTTTGTGAAATCAATTGTTGAATAAACCTCAAAAGAAAATTAAACAGTAGCATATTTGACTGTTTTATTTTGTCAGTCAATGAATAACGAATACTTCATTTAAAAGCATAGTCTGTAATTTTGCCTTTCTGTTTCAATAGTTATCTTGAATACAACCTTAACTATCCTTTAAAAGTTTCCCTTGTAACAACTAATAGTAATAGAATAAAGAGTAGAGTAGTAGAATAGTAAAGCTAAAGCAATTTAGAATAACAACAGTTCCAAAGAAACCGTCATTCATAAGGCTGCAGTTTCTTGTTGAAATGATAACACAGCGCCTAAGAAATACAGTAAAAAAGGCAATCACGTCAGGAGAGGTACACTGTATCTTCACAACTGCTTCAATTCTACGTTCGAGAAATAAGTATAAACTGGCTTATTTGTTCTCCTCTGAGTGTATCGGTCAGTTTAACTGCTAATGTGGAGCTAGTTACTTACATCGGGTGTACAATTAGGCAGATTCACCATCGTACTTCATAGCATTATCCTGTATGGTTGAGCAGGGAAGAGTCAAGATCTATTTGTACCTCACCTCGTAGATTGTGAGCAGAAAATTGATATGAATACAGCATTTACAGCTATTTATCCCATTTGAGACAATGTTTGTTTCACTTTACGAGTTCGTCTTCAACATACAGCTGGTGCTATTGTAGTCCGCCTGAGGAAGCTAAATCTGTGTGTTTAGAAGAAATTTAAGCAGCCATTTTCTTTACTTTGGCCATCGTTACATGAGTGTAAAAACTGAACAAGCCTTTCCCAAGTTATTATTGTCTTAATTATTTTATTATTCTGACAACTTCATCTTAAACTGCTTATTACTAAATCAATTTGAACCCGTGATTACTTATTATTTTCTCCAAAATTATGCATTATACAATTATTTCTGCTCTTTAATTTCTGTATTAATTTTCTTGGTTAATGATTCTCTCATTTACCTACTGATACTGACTGATTATTGTTAACATACTTATCACTGCTAGATTGGTAAATTTTTTGGCGTATTAATAAAGACGTTCTATATATTAGAGTCGTAACCTCACCCAGTTTACTAGCTCGTTAGTTTTCTAGCCGGTCGCAAGCCTGGTTAAACAGGGAGGGTTAGGTGTGGGGCTAGCGATACTACATCACAAAACCATTAAAACTGCTACGGAAGCTTCAACGCAAACTGAAAATAATAATACAAATTATACATAAAACAAACTTATTCTATGCTGGAATCGGAGAGGAAAAATGACGCCATAGACTGGTAGAGGTTTTGGAGAGTCAGTCTGGCGGTTTGTCTTCTTTCGATGAGAACGAGAATAAGAATGGGGACGTGGAATGTTCATGCAATTGTGGACCCAACTGAAGAGAACAGCACAGCATAGAACAAAGTGGAGATTTGTTGTTGAAGTGCTATGTTCCACTCGGAACCCAAGGGAATAATAACATCTGGGAGTATCTAGGCAAAAACTGCAGTGGAAATATTTCGAAAAATTCTGGATAATTCCGCTTATTGGTAAAAATCCACATCCAGACACTAATGAAGAGAACAAAACAAGTAGTTCAAGGAAGGGGCTCTTCTAGGCGAATCTGTCCTCTTTAGCTGCAGAACTGCATTCACAAACAATATTTTTCACAAAAGGAGGTAGAAAAGAAAGTGGTGAGGTGTCTTCACCAAAGTTTTTAATATTAATAAATACTTTTAAGAGGAGATGTTTAAGGGTGTTAAGGTTATGTTTTCAGACAAGTAATTAAGTGAATGAATCGTAACCAGGATGCACACCAAAAGGTAGCTATGGTCCCATAAGGAATGAGATAAATACACACCTTCTCTTCACTGGCCATTCTACCTCAACAAACTCCTCCTTCAAAATGATCTACAAAGCACAAAAACAGTCAGCTAAAGACAAAACGCTTTTGTCATTTCTGCATTGCTCAAACTCTAGCCATTCATATAGAGACAATGGAGGTCCACATACAAAAGAGAATCACGCAACCACTTATTTTATAATAGTTACGACCCTTTCTTCTTTCTTCCTCTCTAAATGTTGCGTAATATCGCATTTCCCTCGCTTCTATGCACTTCCTGATTACAACTCATGAAATTACTTATCTCATTGCGTAACGATAACACGCTTGTTCAACTCCTACTGATTAATAATCACAACTACGATTACGTAATACCATTACTTTTGTTAGTGTCCCATTTTGTGTGAAAAGTTGTACTTATAAATGCGCTTGCACAGCTGACTAAAACGAATTCACCCAAAGATTCCATTTCTTAGACTGAACGTTTTGTCTTCTGTTGTTTCACACGTAGCATTATAATTTTTACAGTATGGATGGATGAATACAAAAATAAGAAAGAATCTGTCCGAATCAACTACTATACAAAATTATGCAGATGTTATTTATTTATGGAAGTGCATTCCTAATTTGTTTAACAACTTAACCTTGTCAGGGTAACCTATAGGTACTCATTAAGCTAAGGTCATTCTTATCTGGGGTAGCTGTCAAGTGATGATAAAAAATATGAACTCATACCAGTGTAATTATTATGACTGTAATAGACGTTAATGAGAGATAAACTCTATAAAGAGAAACGAGAATAAACTTTGTCAGTTAACTTTTATTACTAAGATGAATAAGCTACTAAATATATCTACAAGGTTATTATAATTTTTCTTATTTATTCTGAGTGCAGCATAAAGCTTCAAGCTTGAGCTTGGAAGTTTCAGTATCGGTAGTGTTTTTCTGTACGGTGTAGGGTTGCTAAAATCACGCCCAACCTTCTCTCTTCACCAGACTTATTACCAGCTAGGCGAAGTTTTGGGGGAATGCACCGGTAGGAGATCAAACCCGGATAACTTGTAGCGTGATTCACCAGCAATCTACCATTGAACAATCAATGCACATTTATAAGAGTAGATGTTTATAAAAGCCTCTCTGAAACTAGATATTAAGCTATCGCCCTGCTCTGATAAAACAAAATCTTAACTAATACTTATCTTTGTATTTGCGAAGTACTATATAACTTGACTTATACAAAGTACAGAATTTTGGGTGTCTGGAAAAAGCCATACAATTTATGTATTGAGAGTTAAAAAACAAAGAATAAGTGAGGCCTTTATCTTGATTGTTCGATTATTTGAACAAGAATGTTTATGAACGTTGCAGAAATGCCATGTTAAGGAATGCTGGCATGTATGAAACCCTACACTGTATCCACTCAACAAACAGTAGCGATACTTTCATCGAAAACTAGCTAGTGTAATGTGCCTAGTCCTTTGTCTGGTGCAGGATGAATTAATCCGTCAGACCAGTTTGCAATGTGACCACCATGTTAGATAGCTTGCCATCACAATACACTGTGAATTCACGGAAAATACCCATCCAGACGTGAATATAAGAACAACAAAGTTCAGCGGGGAGATTCTTTTCGCGGAGTTCATTTACTTAGCTGTACAATAGCATTCATATATATTTATTATGTGTATATGTGTAAATTAGGATTGTCAGACAAAAATAAAATTAGTTAGAGTTACTGTTTACGTTATCAAAATGTGATGAATAATCAAAATTGTAACCACGGGGGGTAAGTATTTGTAGATCATTTACAAAGTCACAAGAAGCTTCTCTCGTATGGCATCTCAGTAACATCTTCTTCTTAAACAACCCGTTATTTACTCTTTCCACCTATTGGATAATTTATTTTTTGAACACGTGTCTCCATTAACATCCTATTTCATATTACTCAACTCTTATCGATACTTATCAATCTTCACCACCCCCCGTAGTTACAATTTTGATTATTCATCACATTTTAGAAACATTTTGATGACGTAAACAGTAACCCTAACTAATTATTTTTGTTTAACAATCGTAATGTACACACAAACACAAAATAAATATATACAAATGCGATTGTACAGCTAAGTGAATGAATTCGCCGAAAACAGCAGTGTGAATTGTTGATGTTAGACAGTTGGAGGCGATTGTCGTGAAGCCTTGAACCGAGGTTTCCTACATGTTAGCATCCACTAGCCAGCAAGACGTATCTGCAGCTTTGAAGGAACTCATAACCCTTCTGAGATTCGAAGCCGTGCTGCAGTCAGAGACGTTACCCCCCCCCCAAGCTATTTCGGCCCGCAATAATAACAATAATAAACAAAGATATTCTTTTCAATCATTTATTTTTGAAAATATAAAACGTTCAGTCGAAGTAGTGCCACACACAGAAAAGCAAGCCATATAGCTACCAGAATGAAAGAAGATAGTAGTAACAAGCAAAAGTTAACTGGTATCACTTTATTTTACAAGATTACAAACGTGATAATAACAATTGTCTTATTCAATCTGTGAACAAAATAATTACAGTTACTGATTCAGAAATCAACACGTCTCATAATATAATAAATGTATATAGGAATAAAAAAGCCGACAAATCCTAGATACAATATGTTATATCCTATATTAAATACTTCATACACAAGTGTCACTGTGCACCTTTTATTCTCTGAGATCATAAAACAAGGAAGAGACTGACAAATTGTTTTTTTTTTACTTCATTTGACTAATTAAAAGATTTAAATGATTCGCTAAATTACGTAGTTCAGCTTTTTGGGATTCATTCGCTGACTGATTGTATACAGCGTCTAAAAAATCACTTGAACTAAGTACATTGAAAAAGTATTTAATCCGTTCAACAGACTTTTGACTTAGATATGGTGTTACAGCTTGACAAATACTATCTTTACAACCATCTAATTGTTCTTTAAGAAAAGCATAATTATATGTATAATCTGTTTGAGCAAAACTTATCAATGTTAAGCCAATTGTACGACCTTTCTCTTTAATTTCATGTATATTTGTATAATCTTCTTCAGATAAACTGCGTTGCTGTGAGATAACTCCAATTTTTCCAATTGTTTTAACCAATGACTTGTACAATTGTTTTACTTCACTTTCAGGTTTAATATATAATTTCATAAGAGCATATAAAGCAGTTAAAGCCTTGTAGGCTCGATTACCAATGATAGATTTAATCGATTGTCCATTTCGCATCACTCGGCCGACAAGTCGTTTTTGAGCACGAAACCATATTGATTGTGTATTATTCTTTTTGTCTAATACATTATTTGATTTTTGATCGTCTTCAGAGCTTAAACTGATTTCATCGTCATTATCATCATCGTCATCATTGTCAAGGCTGCTATCACATGAATTGTCACGAGTATATTTACCAACAGGTGTTACCATGAGTTATGAAAAAAAGATTTTTAATAACTGAAAGCTTTGGAAGGCAGATGATATGCAGAGAAGATCGTTCACTGGAATGACCAGTCAGTTGTATAATAAACTACTTTCAGCTAAAAAAAAAAAGAAAATAAAGAAGGATAATAATTATGAAACATCTTCAGCCGCAAAATAAACTATAAATCTGACAGTTGTACTTAATACATAAATTAGATAGAAGTTGTTAGTGCACAGGCCTTATTAGGATTCATTGGTAAAGTCCATTGTCCATTTATTGAATAAATGTATTGGTCTACTGTCTAAATCACTGAAAGAAATGGGATAGGTATGAACGACTTTAAGCACTGCACAAAGCCTGTTTATTCTGGGCCATAACTTTTCCAAAAGTGACTGAGTTTCAAAGTAGAACTGTTGTACACAAATGCAAAATAGAAAAAAGAAGACTTAATCTATCTGAAACACTATAAAGAGTGAATGCATTCTCCTCACTGAGAAAGATTTTGGATCATATAACCAGTAGTCTCCAGTCATTGGTTCTAAGAGCCTCGAGGAGGCGGACCAAACAGTTTACACCTCTCTACCTGGTTCAAACCAACTGTTAGAGATTCCATCAACTGATGCCAGGTTTTGTATGTATGATATGTGTCCAAGCCACTTAAACTGGTATGCAACTTCACAACTCCACTTTCGACAGTCATATCTCACGGCCGTAAAGCAGAAGAACAGGGCAAACAGCCTTCCTTTTTAATCGATAACCGGATATCATATCAACACCAGAGATGACGTAAATCAATGAATACCCAACAGGCAATTTTATCCATATTGAGATTTCGTCAGCGACCATTTCATTAGAACTGATACAACTTCGCAAATAACCAAAGTGGTCACGAAATTCAACGACGACGAAAGCTCCGCAACTAAACCAACCAGCTCAGAGAACACTACTAACTGACTTTAATCCCTATCATTAAACTGGAAGTAGATGCATACCAGTCCTACATTTGACAAAGACGTATCGCATGCCAAACATAACAAGATTTCTGCTCAAGGTATTCAGAAGACACTGAATCTTGTCAGTATTTTCACCTAGAAGGACGATATCATCCGCTAAAGTTAGGGACCATCTCATCATTTCAGATAAAAACTACCTATAGGCTCTAACGCGGCTGCGTGAGTTCGAATATTCTACTTTGATTAGTGCGATATATTTTATCGACACTCCCTTCACGACCAAACATTGCCAGATCAAGAAATATAGCAGTTATTGGATGTTGAAAAGCATACCTTTTTTATTTTTTTTTATTATAGCTTGACTCCACACAGTGTTTTTGACACAAGTATGGAATTTTCAGCATGTGATATCAGTAACCCATTGATATCGGGTGTGCGTCGGCCGGGGATCGAACCCCGGACCACGTGCATGGTTGGCGGGCGTCCTAACCACTGTGCCACCTATATTTCGGAATTTCTTGCAGAGTGAAGACATAATCAATAAACCTTCCTCATGTCCTAAAGCCTGTCTAGCTTTTTACTGGTTCATTCCTTCTGAGTACCACTCAGTCTAAGCACAATTAGTGGGCCTAGAACTCTAGATGCTAAATTAGCGAATCTAGCCCATATATTATTATCAGAGGAAGAACTGTCTGACGTAACTTTCTAATTCCAAGACACTACCTCATATCTCAGCTAATCCAGACAACAGTTCATCACCGTTTAATCGTTATCTAAATAACCTCTCTGCCACTTAGGGGCATTCATTAAACTAAATATAGCTCGTTGGGTCACTGTGGTATGCCAGCGCAATAACCACGATAAGATTGCACCCATCAGTCGAGAATATTAATACTGGCTAGGAAGTAACAGTATTTTGAAATGTGAGACATAGCACATAAGTTCGTTATTTTCATATCCCAATAGGTTAAAAAGTTCTGAAGGACAAAATATGGTAAAAAAAAGGGAGAGAGCTAAGTAAACATCAATGAAATATCAGTCTTGATATCAAAGCAGTGTCAGTTCTCATTAACTTTTATACTTGTTTGAATGAATTTCATAAAGTGGTCAAGTCGGCGAAACGGTTCCCCTGTTGAATAAAATCAACCGTAACCTAGAAGTGATGAACAAACACACAGAGCAATGAGAAAATTTTAGCATGGAAATCCGTTATTTTATATTAGTGCGAAAGCATTGTAAATTTTATGTTTGATATTCTAACCAACACTGCAAATTTGTAGGAGGTAAAAAAGAGGTCAAGGTGTTACACTCTGTCTTAAAAATCCCGAAAATCATCCAAATAACAACTCGGATACACGAGCTTTTCTACTGCTATCAATGGTTTTCCAGATAGTATGAATTCAGACACGCTCCTTTCGTTGCAGCGAAAACTCATTATTTATCATTAAAACGAAAACTTGGAACCATCGGCAGTACACACCCACTGGGATTCGAACCTAGGACCTTCCGGTTACAAGGCAAGCTCGTATACCATTCAGTCACTGAAACCCGATTCAGTGGCTCATGAATTCTAACTTCTACCAATTCGTGTCGTTGGTGGGACATCCATCCACACACGTGACACCTAATTGGACCTCACTGGTCACGACTTCTCACTAGAACTCCAGGAAACTTCATCCTGTAGCAAGTCACTGGCGAGCATCAGATTAATTTTCTACAGTTTGGTTTGTAAGGGTTAGTCAAGTTTCTACGAGTTGATCACGGACTGATATCAGTTAGAGAACCATTGGGTGCGTACTGCCGATGAATCCCAAACAAGGATGAAACAGCTGTCCAGTACTCCCTGGTTTTCAATGGTTCTCTAACTGGTATCAGTCCGTGATCAACTCGCAAAAACATAACTAACCCTTACAAACCAAACTATAGAAAAAAACTTGGAACGTTATGGGAACCAAAAGATGCGCTACACGAAACCTTGTAGTTTGTGCCAGATCTAGAATACTGCCTGGATGACCAGACAAAAGCTGGTGATTGCCTTGAGGGGCTTCACTCCGAGGCTATGATTTGAAGTTTGATGCACAAGGTTTATATACCACTTAATCCTTTCGGATTCTGGAACCTATGTATACCATAGGTTTGGAATCAGGGTTTTATAGTTACCCTAGATAGACAAGCACGTCGACCAGTCCGATTGTAAGCTCCAGACACCCGTATTCACCCTTTAATCTATGTGAGGGACACTCCTACTGCCTTTTTTTCCTTCATGTTCCCCAGTGGAACATAGGGCTTCAAGCTAGTGGCTTGAAGTTTCTGTAGCAGTGCTTATTTTACAGGATGGAGTTGCTAGCCTCATGCCCAACCTTTCCTCTTTACCAGCATTATTTCTGGCTCAGCGAGGTAAAGGAGTGCTTCGGCCGGGGATCGAACCCCGGACCAAGTGCATGGTCGGCGAGCGTCCTAACCGCTATACCACCGACGCTGCTGCTTGCAGGTAGTGAATGGGACTTACCAATCACAGACTATAGACACGCAGCCCCATGGGAGAATTTTAGGGGAAAGACTGACGTCTACCTACCGTCGGCCGTTCTAGACTGTCTCATGAATACTTTAACGGTAAAAAGCACACTAAACCTAGGACACTCAGTGCAAAACCAAGAAGTATCAGAGGAGTTGAGAACATATCACTTATCTATGTAGTAGGTGTCTACTAAATAAGTTTTATAATTCTACAATCAACAAAAGTATATTTCACTAGATGTTTATGGTCAAACCGAAACTATGACTAATTTCTTTAGTAAGAAGAAGTCACAAACTTGTTGTACAAATATGAAATTACATATGTAAATTAACTACAATTCAATTATTTAAAATTCCTGTACACATATCACAAATGGCAATAATTTATAAACACGATCATTTTCAATATTCATTGAATGAGTGCTTATAGTGTGTTGTTAGTGTGCTTTAGGAACAAATTGACAGGAGATGAAAAAATATATATTAATTAACAGAAATTTTGAAGGAAAAAAAACATTAGCATACTGTTTTCGTTCTCAATGATTATTTGCATATTTACAAGTTTACTCTACTCAGAAAACCAAAAAATGTGTGTACATATCAAAATGACACATTAACTTCAATACCGTGCGTGTTTTTGTTACCAACGAGACCAGAATGAAACAAAATTAAATGTGTAGTCTTTATAAGACTGAAAATAGATAAATATTAAACTGACTGATAAGGGATTTTGTAGGAGGATGTATGTTCGGTAAGTGATAAGACCATCTGTTACGGCCGACGGCAGGTGGACTCCGGTGTTCCTCTCAAAATGCCCTTATGCGGCCACAGGTAAGTCTTATTCACCACCTTGACTCAGTGACAATGGTCCTCACAAAAGTGAAAGGAGGGAATGAGAACGTCTAGTGCTTACAACTGGACTGGTGGATACGCATGTCTCCATAGAAGGGTTAGAGAACTCTGACTCTAAATCTACTGTGTAGATGGGTACCAGAAACCAAAAGGATCGAAAGGTGTACAGACATGTTTTGGACCCTGGAAAACATGGGAAAGTATCTCCTGATGCCGCTCTACCACCTTGTAGATCGGACTTTAGGTCCAAGGGTAAGGGATGGCTCCTTAAGATAGCCAGGTGCTTAGGTCTGAACGTCCAAGCAGTATCCCGGCCCTCTTATAAACTATAAGATTTCGTGTTGTACATCTGTTGGTGCCTGTAATGTGCTAAGCTGGTGTTTCAGTAATAATAAAATGACAAAACACCGACCATTCTTAGCCAAAGTAACAGATGTTTAACTTTTCATTATTCAGTAGTAATTGTTATCAGGAATATACTAACACAGACTGTTGAAGGCAAGAAGCTCAATTAATTGATCTGAGCTATTTAATGGGTAAGAAGCCGGTGCCAAATAGCATGCACCTTTGTCTACATACTCACTTAATAGCTTAAATAGCTGAGGTCGGGGTGGCCGAGCGGTCTAAGGCGCCAGACTCAAGAGTAATCTTCTGGGTGTTCTGGTCCACGATGTGGGCGTGGGTTCGAATCCCACCTCCGACACACGCTTTGTGCGTCGGTGGCACAGTGGTTAGGACTCTCGCCGACCATGCACATGGTCCGAGGTTCGATCCCCTGCCGGCGCACACCCGA